GGATGGTAAACTTGGCTACGATATTAAAAAAAAATTGAAAATACTGAGTAACCAAAGAGTAACCACAGAGCAAAAAGAAAGAATAAATAAGCCAATTTATGTTTATTTCTCATTGTAAAAGGCCCGCTAAGGAAAGAGGAGTGCATTTTCTCATTCTCCAATTTTTCCGCTGTTTATTTTCAAATATTTGATCTCAACAGATAAGGGGTCTTTCGATTTGATTTCATAAAATCTCCAATTTGTATCACAGATAGGAATCTAATATAGATTTTCTTACGTTACATCGATAATCTCCAAAAACAAAAGTGAGCATTGTCGAGTAGCTAAAGACCCCTTAAAAGCCCTGGAGTTTGTATATCCTGACCGCATTCCGTTGTTTTCGTTCCTCGCATTTTCAACCCTCCCTGCTATAACAAAAGTTCCTCTAACGCTTTGAAATATTTCGAGGGTATAAAAGCCCAGCTTCCTGTAGAAAATAGGCGGTTGTGTATTTAATGCCATTCACGCTCTCCTGACTCCTCCGCTCACTTCTTGTGGTTAATAACGTTTTCTTTTATGCTGTTGGATGTCATTACATGTATACTTTGAGAATTAAGTGTGAAGTAACCTAATATTTTAAACCGACGCTCAAAATATTGATCGCTCATACAGGCAAATCCATATAATAGGTATATTATGTAATGCGAAAAAGTATATAGCTTACCTAACGACGTATTTTATATTCAGCAACAACAAGTTGGCGCAGCGATGCTTTTAGCATAATATTATTTCCTTTAGCAGAGTTTAATACACTTGTACAAATTTGCTGATAGTATTTTATTTACGATGGTAGTGAACACAAAATTTGCATAGGTATAAAAAGAAATGGCAGAAATAAACGTACGAGAGATGATGGAAAATTGATTATCGAAGAACTGAAACAAACAGAAAACTAAATATAACAAATAGTCAGCAGACTATCCAAGACCATCTAAAGGTTGTGAATAATAAATATTATGTATAAAAAATGCCCACAAAAAGTAAATTACTTTCACTTCCACATCTAATGGTTTATCCTAATGTCATATAAAACCAAGAGTAATAAATTTTTAATAGTTTTTCGAAATATTATTTGTCTAGAGCAATTATTATTAAATTATGCCAGAAGCACCAACAAACAGCGTATGAATAATGGAAGCAGTTATTTCTCAAATTAAATAAATACAATGCTTTATATAAATGAAGCAACTCCACATATTAAATTATGAGAAAGGTTGTTTGTTGGTTTATTATTATGATTGTATGTTTTCATTTGGAAGAAACAAATTTCTTGTTTTGTTTTTTTGGGAAATAAAAAGTCGGGTTTAAAACGCCCTCAGGTCTTCTACTATAATAACTGGAGTTAATTACCGAATGTAATTGGGCAATTTGGAACAGCAAAAGGATTTGTAAAAATGGCCACTCTCGTATAATTATTGTCAGTGTATGGAAATGCTAGCTCTTAGGTACAACTGCATGAAAAGAGAAATTGAGACAAAATACTACAGTGAGAGTACAGGTACGTCGTCGTTATTTTATGTGATTCAAAAGCGATATGGAAAGTGCGATATCAATAAAACAGAATGAAACGAAACATAGCTAAACCTGATCGTTTTCTTGTTCGAACTGGATTCACACAGGACAAATACAGGAATCGGATTGGTTCGGTTGTTGTAGAGAACGAGTATGTCACAAAAATACTTGTCTTTGATCACAATATTGAAACATGAAAAGGAGATAGAAAACCAATACAATCAAAACAAATCATGGATACAAAATATTTGGAGAGAGATCTCTACTCCCCATGTTTCCGAAAGTATTGAATTTGTGCTACTAGCGGTAGAAAATAGTGTTCAGAATCCCGTAAGTTATAATTCTAATACAAAGCAATAGAAAAAAAAAATAGATGTTGTCAATGAATTAACAAGGGGCCATAATATGCTCAGTTTGCTCAGCGAATAATTATTAGGGATGGGTCAATAGTTTAATAGGTCTAGAATGGCAAGGGCGCCACTGAATTTAAAACAAAAACAAAATAAAAATTACTGAATTATATTAAATATTGAAGGGTGAAAATTATAACACACATAAAAAAAATCAGCATACGATAATTGATAATCCTGAGAAGGAAATAAATAAGGCATATAACTCAACCAAATCTTGACATAGGTAAACCAATAAAACAATTAAGTGTTTCAAATTGAATTAGTGCATATTCCACAGTGAGGTTAAAAATCAAGAATTATATAATTTTAAAAGATTAAACCAACTGTTGATGAAACACTTTAAATCAAATCAATAAATAGAGGTTAACTCTCAGTTTCATCAATTTCAAAAAAAAAGATAATATTACAATACTTATACCCTAATATACTTGCCATATAAATGCATGAACAGTCGCTGGCCATATCATTATCATGAAATGAAAATATAAAGAAAATGCACAATTTAACTACAGAAAAAGACTAATTACTGAGATGATCAAAATACAAAATGATAAAAATTGCGTCAATAAAAGAACAGATATATAAAATTTAAGTTACGCCTATTATAACATTTTATCAACAACAAAATGATCAACACAAAGCAGCTTTCATATTAGTGTTTTTTTCGATTCGGATGCCATTCGCTACTTGGTTTTTCTTTGCTTGCCCTCACGAACGATAACATTGTTCAATTTATTATTGAAAGAGTAACAGCTGACTGTGTCTGTCCTATATATTTTATTTAGAAATTTGTTAATTTCTAACTTTTAATGTGTGATTGTTTTTATAACTATTTGTGATATTTTTTGATAAATTTTAAACTGTACCATGTATGTGAATGTTACGTCTCCTGGGAATCTGTATCTACCAAACAACTTCGTATATTTTTATGTTATGACATAGAAAGTCAATCGCAAATGTAAGTAACCAATAATTCTATAAGCATAACTGGAGTTGTTAGGACTACATGGAGTAACATTGTCTTACCTTTTTGTAGTGTCCTGAAAATGCAATAATATATTGCGAAACGTTGACAATCTGAAATAACAGACTTATGTTGTTTCATTTCCATCCAATCCCAAACAAAACCAATTACAATTCAGGGATCGACAACAAAATAACCGAAAATATAAAGATTTAAGTTTCCAGAAAACTAATAAAAAAAATAAATGATTGAAAATTGTATTGATAAATATGGTCAGCTTCTGCTTAAAGAATAAATTCAATAAAATCAACTTGCACCTGTATGAAATCGAAAGTTGGGTTAAATGGTCAGGAGATATAAAAGAAATCCTCAAATATATGAGTTTTAGGACCCAGGTTTGAAAATTGATCAATTCTTCACGATTTAGGTACTCAATCAATTTAAATTTAGAGCATGTTGTCCAACCTTGACTTCTGTTCAGATTACTGATTGATTATCATTGATAAAATATAAGTACATTCTTTAAATATGGCGTTACTAAATGTTAAGTAGAGATACAATCTATAGTAAATACAGTAAATCAAAAATCGGAAATAAGTATTTAAAGTTTACTTAGGTGTCAAGAATAGGAAACTGAAATTTCAAATACCTATTTAATTGTCATATCAGGAAAAAAAATCAATTAATTTTGTTAACTGAACTGGTACTTCAAATTTAAACGAAAATCGTGCCCTCTTGTTTAATAATTGCTAATATTATTAGCAGCAGAAACCTTTTTTTTAATGCTTGTCACCAGACTGTCAACATTGAAGGTAGTATAAAATTATATGTGAAAGAAAAAAGAACAAGTAATATCTGCAATGTGTATTAACGTAGAAATGAAATGGAAATGAGGAAGTGGGAGATTTTTTACACTTTTACAGCGGAGTGGCAAAAAATCGATAGGGCTAATCGAGGAGTGTCACATTGCTGTAAATAAACGATACAAAAATAATATAAAAAGCTGGGAAGAAGCTGATGAAATTATTAACCTCAAGATGAAGAAAAACGCTGAAATATTGTAATCATTGGGGTGTATGCTCCAAGTAATGACGCTGAAGAAAGGTTTTACCCTTTCTTCAGCGTCAGATAAATTTTATGAAAAGATGGAACAGGTTCTAGCAGGAATAAATTCAAATAAGGAACTAATGATACTCGACCTAAATGCGAGAATTGGAAAATAAATAATAGACCTGATTGTGGGACAGTATGGAAAAGAAGCAACGAATGAAAATGGACAACGGCTGATAAGCCTATGTGGTAGCTTCTCACTGAAGATCATGAACGTATTTTACCCTCATAAGCACATCCATGAATTTACCTGGATATAGCCTACTAAAGGACTGAAGTCAATCATAGACTACATAATTAAAAGATATAACAGTGTGCTTTTCCTGAGTTACCTCTTGTAGCTCTTTAAGCCCATTGCAGGCTGCTGCCCTCAGAGTTAACCAAAAAGCTCTGTACACTAGTCCACCAGTGACGCAAGCAATCCGTCCACCAGTGACACAAAATCTATCATGATGACACTGACAATCAGTTTTTTTCAGCAGTCAGAAAGTTACGATATCGAGAGAGTCAATTTTTGATTTTCTCCCTCGTTCAGCTTTTATTTTCTTCCTAGTTCATGTTATATTTATTCATTCTGCAAAATTAAATACCTACAATAACATCCAATTAACTCTTTTCGTGTACCCACAACCAACAAAAAAAAATTCTTATAATTGGCGCCCAACGTGGGGCCACGAAAATTGTGTTAAAGCTTGTGTTTTCGTAAGTTTTGCGTGTGAGACATCGCCGAGAACTATTTGGAGCAAACTGTAAGTTTTATTTTTATTCTTCCTCCTCTTGCAAACTGGAATTGAAACATTCGTACAATCTTTTGGTGAACTTCTCACTCATGCCCGGTTGATCGAAGAAACATTCGAAAATAACTCCGAAAATCCAACTGTTATGAACAAAAAGTTTCTTCTCAGAAAAAAATTAGGTGCGCGTATTGTAAATAAACAGGACATGTGATTGAAGAGTGTTGCATGTTAGCAAATAATGAAAACTTGGATAAGCCTGCTTCTTTTGCAGCTAAGGCAGACTCTATCGACAAAAACAATAATAGTTTTACAATGCCTAATATTTTATGTTATGGCTGTAATACACCTGGATACATTAAAAGCAATTGTCCAAACTCTAAACCTAAACCAGTAGACGTTCGCGCTGCAGATTTTTTGTACAATACTTTTGATGAAAACTCAACCTCTTGTTCCGATTACAATTTGTGATCATAATGGTTACGCTTTTATAGACACCGGAGCTAAAACTAGTATTGTCGGATCATCTCTCACGAAACTATTATTACAAGATAGCATACCTTACACTAAAGACATTATGCTGATGACTTTAGCTGATGGTCGGAAACGTCGCGTAAATGTTATTATTTCTGAAGTGGACGTCAAGTTACAATATAAAACAATTTGTACACGTTTTATATCTGTTCCAAACCACGAAAACAGTCGAACTTTGTTGAGATGTGATTTCATTCAACAAGCGAACATTATCCTGAACTTACCTAGCAATCAGTATTATTTTGGTGAAAATCCTCAACTCACTTTTGTTTTCGATACTGAACTAGATCCTTCTTGTACATACTGTGAATAATGTAAAATTTGAAAATATCAAACTGCGAAATGACGAAGCTTCTATTCTCAAAGGGAACAAATTAATTCACTTAACGCTCTTTTGCACGAATATATTAAGATTTCTGAGCCAGGTGATGAGCTTACACCTTATGGAGAACATTCTATCGTACTTCTAGATGATTCTCCGCGAGCTTCTCCACCCTATTAAATGTCAGAGGTCAAAAAAATACAACTTTGAGAAGAATTAGACAAATTATTAGCAAGTGGTTATATTGAAGAGTGTGAGTCCCCTTACGCTGCTCCCATTGTTCTTGTCCCCAAAAAAGGTAATAAAGTTCGCCTCACTGTTGACTATAGATCCTTAAATGCAGTCACACGTGCCGACAAATTCCCAATCCCAAGAATTGATAACCTTTCACATGCTGCCAAAAAGACTGGTTGCATGAGGACCCTCGACCTTCGTAGTGGTTATCATTTGGTGAGTGTCAAAGTGTTTTTGTGACGCCTTTTGGTACATTTAGGTATACACGCATGCCTTTTGGTCTTCGGAATGCGCCATCTACCTTTCAGCGTTTGATCGAGGGTTTCAGATCAGGCCTGCAAGTGGTCTTCATTTTGGCTTACCCTGATGATTTAATTGTCATTTCTTCCATTTTTGAAGAATATACTGAAATCCTTCGCGAAGTGTTCGAACGACTGATCTTATATAAACTCGCGTGGAATCGAGAAAAGTACTCATTTGTATCTAAAACTTTACACTGCCTTGGTCACATCATTTTCCTCGAAGGCATCTCGCCAAATGAAGAAAAAGTAGCTGCTATTCTCAACATGCCACAAATAATGTGAAATAGCTTCTAAGCGTCCTAGAGCAAAAAGAAACTTTCGACACACTTGAAACCCTTTTGTACTCATCTCCAATTTAAAGACAAGCCGATAGCCGACTACCCTATGTACTACGCACTACGCACAGATGCGATGGGTGCATGGTTACTCCAGGGGGAGGAGGAAGATGAAAGACCAGTGGAATATGCATCTAGACTCTTGACCTTCCCAAAGAAAATTTACAATACAACAGCACGTGAAGCTCTTGCTGTTTTGTGGGCTGTAAAGAAGTTTCGAAGCTAACTCGAATTCAGAATTTTCTACTGTGGAGTCAGATTTCTATAAAAACACGTACGAAGCTGAATGCTGGCAGCTGTTTGAACGAAATAAAAGGAAGGTAGATGCAGTGGAAACGGACTTTTTCAGACGGGCATGTATGGGCATGTTATGAGAATGTGAGCATGGAGGAGGAGAGATAGCCAAAGAGAGCATTGATGTACGTTCCATGGAACAGGAGGAAGTGAGGAAGACCGGCGCTTACATGGATAGATAACTTTAAAAAATGTATGAATGATAGAGATAGACGAAGAAGAATGTGGAGGCCGTGGAAAATGCCGATCGAAATGTGGGATGTGGCAGTAGGCTGCAGACCTCCGCGACGATAATATATTGGTGATAGATATATTTAGCTTAGGAAGGAAAAATCAAATAAAAACTTGAAATTTAGTAAAAGCAATATTTTAACATAAATTTACTTCTATCATCTGGTCAAATTAGTGTTCTGTGTGTCTATTCTCGAAACCGCATTCCCACGCTAATCATTGCTCTCTCTCTGTCAACGTTATGGAAAAGACAGAACCTTCATTTTCATGAGAACGCTGATCCTCGGTTTCGAGAATAGACACCCAGAAAGTTTGTTTGGATACAGGGGCCCGGATTCCGAACTCACGATTCGATAGTATCGTTTATCTATTTTATATGAACGATTCTATCGAATCGTTCATCGTTGTTATCAATTATTGTTGATTGAACACGAAATTATAACAGGAAATGAGTTTATAGAAATTTGCTTTTTAACATTTACAATAACGGATAATTTTGTATCCGGAGATCTCACCACGGATTAATGGCCAAGAGTTTCACCGATTGAAAAATTTCCAGTGATGAAAAAAAATCAAGACAAGAAAATAATGATAACATTATCCACGGTGAATCGCCTGCCGCAAATTATAATTCCATATATTTGACCAAATACCTAACGACCATCAAAATTATTCATATCATTCCATCGACCATGCATGTCGTCCCTGAAAATTGATGTCCAGTGGGTTACTAACTTCGGACTTACCTAATTTCGCATTCATGCTAAATATCGAAGTCTAAAAGCCGCATTTAAGAAAAATGTTTTGTTTTATTTTTAAAAGTTTAAAGCTTATGGTCCACCGTCACAACAAAAGTAATTTTAAATGGTAAAACTTTTAAAACTTCAAGTCCATTACGGCTATAAAAAACTCATTATGAGAATGCAGCAGACAATAAAGAGTTGCATTTAATGAAAAAGTTTTCACCAGTGACTTTTTATAAAGATGTAAATAGAGAGAATGGGAGCTAATTTTTTACCAGCGTATGGAAATTTAATTTTTTTAATAAAACTAGTTTCAAATATACAATAAATTAAATAGAATTTGGTTTAATTCATTATATCATATTAATAAAACAATTATTTGCATTTTGGAAGCAATAGAATAAAAAACTATTTATTGAAATAACTTCCTTATTGCGCGTATATCTACCCTAAACCAATATTTATCTTTTACTCTCAAGTCCAAGTCAGAACAATTTTTTTTTCCAGAAGTAGGCCATGACGTTTTATTTTCGGGTCAGCTTTTAGTAAAATTTTAGAGTTCAATATCGTTCGGTTTAGAAAACTAATAAAAAGTTAATATTTCATAATATTTTTTTATGTTATGGTTGAGAACAAGCAAATAATTGATATTTATATAATATGTATTTCCGAAATTAATTTACTTTTCTAATTAGCTAAAATAACTCGTATTTGCATAATCACAATAACAATTTCCGATTAAATTATTTAAAGTATGGCCTCCATGAGTGCCTGTTAATTTTACGAAATCACATTACAACCAAAATTCCGGATAAATGTTATTTCAAGCACGAATAATTAATGAAAATTACTGGAGCGCCGATGCAGTTCTTTTTTGCTTTATGTATTATCTGTATTCAGTAAGCAGGGGATTTCTTCCAGGAAAAAAATTGAGAAGTTTTTTTTTCACTGGTTCCATATGAGCCATATGTTTTTTGGGGTGCTGAATCCGAATCTGGAGTTTGACAACTCGCCAGACGTCGGCTTCACACGAAAAATTGAGAAAACCTTAAATTTTCAGGTGTTCAACTATAAATCGAAAACTAAGCGTTTTTTAATTATAACTAGGATACCTGCATCAAATTAAAGTAGACAAAATTTCCTACAAGTATGCATAATAACTGTAAAGTCGCATAAAAAATGTAACGTCGTAAGATCGTATCGAAAAATGGCGTTTCTTGACTTTCCTCTAGAAAAGTTGAAAATGTTATTTTAACTAAGGTTTTCATAAAAGGAAACGTTATTTGTAACAAATTGGTATTTCCACAAAAAAAAAGCATAAGCACCGTTCATATTCATTATGGGCAAAGTTTGTCAATACCTGCATAAGGCTTAGGATTGCGTTCGCAGATGTTCAGGTTTGTAGTCCTGCCTGGGCAGTGGACTCCTCTAATTCTTGAAGGATGAGCGCTGGTCCCCCTATTGAAAAATAGTAGTTTTCCTAATCAGTGCGCAAAGTTATGTTTTCCAATGCGAAAGCTGATAGAGATAAGCTTTTCATCTATAGAGCTCGTGTTCATCTATCGACACACCAATTTAGAGCCGGATTGGAATTTCAACCTGACATTTCCAAATTTTATAAAAAAAATCCCCTAAACTGTTGGGGGCAAAGAAGTCCAACCCTCTAATGTCTTGCTTGAGGGTGGATAAGGTTTTCCAGATATCACGTTTTTTATGTCTTTCACACCTTTAAAATTGCTCATTACAAGTTGAGCAGAGTGCTGCTTTTCTGGCGGTAGCAATAACAGGCAGGAATAAGAACAAAATCAGATAAAAAAATAAGAAATTAAATCTCTAAATTCTCCCCCAAATAGACAAAATTTTCGTCTTAAGCCAAGGTAGCTACTATAGGTACTACAAGACAAACCAGGAACTGTCAAAATTCTTGAGATATTTCAATTAAAACTTTTTAAATGAATTTTTGACCCTGTCTGGATTTCTATTTTAGAACATAACAACCTTTTTCAATACTCTTCTATTCGAGAAGATAATAATTGAAGGAGTGAAACAGAAAATGGCTATACAGGCCTCTGCCTGGATTCAATAAAGAGTTGATAGGGATGGACACACAAATTTGGTTTTCACCGACTCTATTTAGAGCAAATCGTCCAATAATCCCACACTTACAATTGATTCTGAAAACCAGAGCAGCAGTACCTATCTATTAGCCCAAAAATCTGAATTGACTTACCTCAAAAACGTGGAACCACCACTCACACAAAATGGAGGCCCACAATTAGATAAAAAAATTGAAATATAATATTTATATATCAAAAATAGATATGGTAAGATTTATCAGGTAAAAACTCAACAATGATATGGTAGTATGCACTGATGACAAAATATATTGAAAAATTATAAGGGAGAATCCAAAAATGTGAAGGAAAAATTTTTAAAAATAAAAATGACTCGCCTGCTATAGCACTGCCAGAGAAAG